CGTCAATTTAAGTCTTGTGAAAACATTCTGAATTTGTGTATTTTTAGGGAGAGGCCACTGTTATCCCATTGAGTTGACAATCTGGCAAGCAAAAAAAACACATTCAATCTAATTCACATGTTCCCAAGCTCATAAAAATGTAAAAAGTATATTGTTTATTAATCAAACTGTCCCATATAGGTGTGCATGTAAGTCTGAAAATGCAAAGCCAAGATAGACTGGACATAATCCCCATTCAGTATGTTGCAATCTTTAAACCTAAGGTTTACATTTCATGAGTGATTTTGAGGAAGCAATTTGTAGCAGATGTAGAAGCTCTTTGTGAGTTTGTTGCTAGGAATAAGTGAATTGCAAACAATGGAAGATCTTCGTCACAACGACTTTTAGCTCAGTCACTAGGAGATTTATGTTTTGAAAAGTTTAAAACTAGCTACAAGATTGGCACTTTTAACTATGTTTTGAAAATAAACATTTGCTACATGTCAGTAGAATCACAGAGCACCACTGATTAGCTAAAGAGACAGCAGCGCAATAGTGGCCAACCTTGAAACATGCTTTTTCAATATAAAAGAATACTAAAATGCATTTATCTTCTCTAATCACATGTGTATGTAAATTCCAACTTGAGCTATTGAGCTCTGTAAGCAAGCTCTTTACAACAAAGGAGACAAAGGACAATGTAAAATAGAACAGAAAGTACCACATTCTGACTGCACTGAAAAATACAAAGTATTCTTATACAATATCTCATATTTAAGAAAAAAAATATTTAAAGCCCAATTGAACTTTCAGTTTAAATTTGCTAAATAGATGTCAGGTTCATCCAAACAAAAGATGTTCATAGTCTTACCATTTGTTTGCTTTCCGAAGCAGCCACAGTCTAAGTAGAGAAGCCTGTCCCCTGTCAGCATGTTGTAGAGAAGGGCCCTCTGTGTGGAAGCAGTGGTCTATCTGCAGAGGTCTGATACTTCTTTGCTAAGTCAAACCTATAACTGTACAATCCGCAAACCTCATGCTGCCTGTATTGGGGAATTTTAGCTTTGACTCAAAAGGGCACGTCAGACCACTGCAGGGAGACCATTTCCATGCAGAGAGCAAGGGTACTTCTTGTACAGCAGGAGAACGTGTGTACTCAGACTATGTATGTATATATATATATATATAACTCCAAAATAGGTATAGAGGCACTCACAGGTCTTGCAGCAGAGATATTTCAAGGCATCAGCATTTTATTGTCAATGTTTCAACTGAGATCAGTTCATCTTTATCAAGACTTGCCATCTTTATCAAGACTTGATAAAGATGGACTGAGTTCTGTGGATTTTTGTGGATGAACACCTGTCATTTACTTTAAATGTAAGCTGAAGTATATATGACACACACACACATACTATATATAATATATATTTACAGGTGTAGGACCTGCCATCTGTGCTGCCACATGTCCTCTTCCACAGCAATTACACACTTTCTTATTAAGAGTCAAAACACTGACATTGTAAACCTTTACTCATGATAAAGAGCCTGTGTATGTGCTGCTTGCTTTGTGTATAGTAATGAAGTCATAGTATGCATGCTTAACCCCGCATTCCTCATACGTTCTTCTAAGGGCCTATTCACACGTGCAGATTAGTAATGCAGCTTCCATGAATCATGAATGTACAGAAACTGCATTACATTTAAGAGCCTTCTAAGATGGGCGACCAGCATGTTGCATCCTCCACATGAAATTATTTCTAACTTGTTTCACCCAAAACAATATTCTGCTTCAGTCTTTAGCAAAACTGCTGCAAATTGTGTGGGTTTACAGCTTGTTTATTGTCGCAGCCTCCCCACTAAGCTGGTAATTGCTGGTTTCATATAGGGGTGTCAGTTGGGAAATACCGTGCAACTACCACGAAAAGGGGCTTTTGACCAAAGATACGGCATTTTGAAATCTGAAGAAAAAAATTCTACTGTGTGCTTTTCAGCTCAGTGTGTTATTGCACACCAGAAGTACAGCTAAATCAGTGCTGCAACTTAAATTGATTTTCCATATAGCATAAGGAAAGAATTCCTGGAAAGATTGCTTTCTCCACAACAGTAAGCTCAATTCTTTAGATCTCAAAGGAGGCTGACACCACTTCTAGACAAAATACCAGATATTCATCTTTTTTTGTTCCCTTCACTACCTTCAGAACAGTTATTCAGGTCATATTATTATTATACTGGATTTATATAGAGCCAACAGTTTGCGCAGCGCTTATGTCATACCCCGTGACTACACAAAATTAACTTTTGCAAAGCTTTGAAGCCAAACAAAATACAATACAAGTGCTATATTACGGTACCATGAACAGATCTTTTTTTTCATGTTTCCCTGAATAGGCTTGCCTACACAAAAATGTGCACTAGATAGCTTGGGGG